CACCATTATATTAATTAGACAAATTTGTCCATGCCTGACTGATCCTACAACCATCCTTGCTATTTACAGTGTATTTTTTGTTTCCATTCTGGCATACTGTGCATCCTGCATCCACCTAAATCATAGACAAGATTTTAGACATTTGTTGCTGCAAGGTTAAAAGTATTGTTTGAATAGTTGGAAGCTGGTCATCTTATTTGATTTAAACCTATTTTATTGAATATTCGGTGATTTGGCAAAGTCTAATTTTTTTGTACCATTTGTATACTTATCCTGCATTACTCCAAAATGCAATTACTGCTGTTTTTTGACAGAGTGATGAACTGTGAGAGGTCCATGCCCAGCTGCTGCAGAAAAGTTGACTGGTAGTACCCTCCCACAGACGGCACGTGACCCGGAAATGATGAGCACCGCATCCAAGTGATCACCGGAAAATCCATGACCATTTCTGTCAGAAGTAATCGATAGTTGATACAACAGGAAATAGGTGGCAGAAATAGAATGAGGCGGGTAGCCAAAAAATAAACTGACCTAAGAGCGAGATGGAACGCAGTAGAGCCATCTAATCAGGGGTGATAGACACCGGAGAGTTCGATGGGCCCCGCTTTGGGTATTGGAGAATCAGCAGCATCTGGGATTGGTGACCTGTTACCACCAGGGGTCCAAAGCTGTGGACACCAGCGACATCTTCCAAGGCTACCTCACAGAGGTAGTGGCTGGTGAAGACGGTGTCGGATCACCAGAAGCACCCTTCCATGATCGACTTGAAGGAGCAGTTACTGTGAAGAGCCATGGAAGATGCAACCGCTCTGATCTCATGGGGGTTGTTAGCCTTGTGGGGGTCCAATCCGGCAGCTTCATAAGCTTGTATGATGACTGCCCAGAGCCACAGGGAAACAGTATTCCAGCTAACCTCTGACTGCGACAAGGTGTTTCTTAGCAGGCTTTTGACCGTCATATCTGGGTGGTGTTGCCAGCCGCATGGAGCCACCTTGTCCCGCCTGGACAGTGCATCTGCCAGAACATTCTTGCAACCTTGAAAGTGCTGATTTCTTTTACAAGAAATTGCAGGTCCAGGCTGACCAGGCTGTCCAGGCTGTCCACCAAGTCGAGGAAGCAAAAGGTCTGGTTTAGCAGGGATGTAGAGTGGAGAGTACCCTGTATCCGGAGACACCACACTATTGTGATGCTGTCTGTGGATATGGTCAACTGGGTGTGACGTAGAATGCTTTGCCAGGACAAGTGACGGCCAGGATAAGTGACGGCCAGGATAAGTGCTTCCAGCTCAAAGCTGTAGCTGTAGCCAATGGAGTTGATTTCCAGACCACAGCCCTGAGACCGTCTAAGTCGCTTGTTTCGATGCATCCACTGCACACCAACTAAAGGAAGGCACCAGGAATTGTTGGATCGGACACAAGAGTAGTCAACCTCAGCTGGTCATAACATGGGATGGCGTGAGCAATCCCAAGACAAAATGGAAGCAGCTGTTGAAGAGCAGGAAGCAGATGGTAGATGAGCCCGTCTACAAGACTGCAAAATTGAAAGGTCAACAGCTGGGGGGTCTCTGAACTTGTCTGAACTTGTCATGACGTGACGATATGTGGAAAAGTGTGTGAACCAATACCAATTCCCATGTAGACGAAATAAACCTGCTCCTCAACCACTGATGTAACAAGTATGGTTCTGAAAGATCGCATCATATGATGAAGCATGGTGCCTCGTGACTGCCAGGCTGGTAGTGGAGGTCCTCTGAAGTTAGTAACTCAGTCACATTGGTCGAGTGGTTGCAGCATTATGTTCAAGTAAGCATGCAAACTAATCTGTAAAAATATACTGCTCCATTAGGTCAGCTGACCTAATTCTGGTAGGAGAAGTTGACAGAGAGTTCTTGACACGTGACATTTACATCATCCTGCACAGTAGCTGAGAAAAACAAATTTTTGCTGGAAATGAGGTGCCCAGCTGCACACACAGACAATCCCTCAGTGAACTGGTAGACAAACAAGGGGTATTTCTGAGCTCTGTGAAGAAACGCCGGGAAAGCTGTAGAAAAACCGGGAGCGCCATGGAAGAGTCTCTTTGAAGAAAGCTTGCTCTAGGTCAGGGTAGAGCAGCACTAGCACCGATGCTGTCGACGTAGAAGACAGTGGATCTTGTCATCAGAGGGCAGGCCAGTGTAGGAGCAAAAATAATCACCATGATAATAGAGACGCCTTGTCCTGACCAGTTAATGATGATCCCCAGAGGTGGGTTCCCGGAGCTGTCAAAAGGGCTAAATGAGCATGAACAGTGAAGATCTGCAAGTTCTGGTACAGATGATGTCTAAAAGCCATGGGAACCCAGTTCAACGAGAGATCTATCGCCCTTTCTGTGTACAAGAAAAAAGGTGGAACTTCACTCCAACTCACCACAAGGCCAGGCAACAAATTTCCGATTCGATCAAAAGCGGATGGTCGGAGGTTTTTAAGAACCGGTCATGCGACGCAGGTATTCAACTAGCATGTGAGCTCCATAAGCTACATCAAAGGGGTGAACCGGGAAGTCATCTCTCCTAAAGTGGGTTGCTTTAAACGACAGGGTTAAGGAGAGTGTTGCAAAATCCTTGTCCAGAGGTGAGGTGAGAAAGGGCGTCGGAGGGACCCTATCCCCGTCAGAGCACGGAGACGGCACAACAGAGGTGAAAAGATCAGCCATCCAGGCATCAAGTTTGAATCTGAAAAACAGTCACCCCTGACGGAGAGCGGCTACGGGAGCGACGGCAACATCGAAAAGACATGCAGCTGCGCCAGGATGATCTAGGCCGATGAGAGTGCGTGGTAGATGCAGTCGGTAGTGGCGCTGGTGAGGCAAGCGCCGATTGCCCAGGATCACTGTGAGCACCGTGTAAGAGACATGAGGCACCAGGAGCGCCGGAGAAAATTCTCTTCAGAAGAGACGTAAGCCCATGATAGAACGTTATTAGTGGTGGGGATGAGATTGGGTGACAGTTTGGGTGACAGCAAAGGGCAGCAACAGGGTCGCAAACTTGATGGGGGAAGGTGCTTCTGTGGCATCAGACATCCTGGGTTGTCTTGACGCTTCCTGACTACTTGTAGGTAGAGGGAGAAGGCTGACAGCGACAAGGGACTGCAATCTCAACACTGCAACGATGATGTACAGGGTTCCGTACAGTCTAGGCAGAGAGGATGAGGATCCCCGCTGATGAGCTCCCGTGGCAAAGTGTACAATGAGGTATAAATTCTGTTATATCATAAGTCATATTGATGTAATGGGAAACAGGAGGCATATTGTAACTCAAAAACTGAAAAGTTTACAAGTGAAAACAATTGCATGAAAGTAGTGCAAAGCAAAGCTTAAAACACATACAAAACAGTGAATGAGTGAGTGAGTGAGTGAGTGAGTGAGTGAGTGAGTGAGTGAGTGAGTGAGTGAGTGAGTTTGGTTTAACGCCGCTTTTAACAGTATTCCAGTTATATCATGGCGTGTCAGCTTTTATGTGGGAGGAAAGCCCGAAGTGATGCAGGTATCAGACGTTTACCACTTCGGTGAAACCCACGAGCACGGGTATGGTGCTGACAAACCTAGAAACATAATCGGGGTGAACCAGGATTCGAACCCATGATGGCGTGTAAACAGAATAATGGATTATCCATGCCAATGAAAAGAATTCAGAATGCAAGATATGAAATCGTGGCCACGTGGCGAATTCAAAATGACGGATGGAACAACAATACACCCGTAATATTACTGTGACTAGAGCCACAAACGAGCGGAAAAACGTTTTAATATACTTATGGGAGTACCATAAAAGGCACAAACCATAAACACAACATAATATAAGAGGAAACAATGTTCAAATAAATAAACAAAGGATGCTGGAAATCGGTAGAGCCTTGAGCACAGAATACACGTCCATCCGTGCAGGCTGACAAAGCAGTAATGTGCTCTTATGTGACGTTATCACTTCCGGTCACGTGCCGTCTGTGTGAGGGTGCTGCCTCAACTGGTTGGAACAACTGTTCTTCAGCAGCTGGACCTCTCACAGTTCGTCTCTCTGTGAAAACCCCCCAGCTAAGTTAAAAAGTGAAATGAATTGGGCACAAGTTATTATAACTTCGTGACCAAAACAGTGAAACTACCACAAAACACATGCATGCATCAAATTGAAATAACTCATCACAAAATTCTAGATGATACTGATACAGAACTCGATGAACCGAAGTTGAATCATACTAGATTTTACTGGAAATGGCACAAGCCATCCATGATCAATGAAACTGTTATTGATTAAATGATTCACACCATACCATATCATAAATCTCTTGTAAATCTGTTATTGTACCCGCTCATAATAACCCAAAATGTGTCCCATGCATAATAATTATCAAGGTTAAAACCATTCAGGTAGATAGTGACATTATGTCAAAAGTCTCGAAAAAGGTAATTTGTACCCTAACATGATCATTTAAGACTGCAGACTGAACTCATCTTTGTGATGGTTGTGTTCACTGGCAGTGATTTTGCTTGAGGCAAATGGCATTAGTAAATTCTTTAAAATATGGTATTAGAAAATTTTCATTGGCCATGTTTCTATACTATTACCAATTTGGAAATTAATCTTTGGCCATTTGTCCAACAATCAGTCACTATGCTGGAATAGGAATCAATTCAAAACCCGGACTGGCTCAGGATATAGCCAGCATCATTAGTTAAGATGACTACCACAGGCTGTTTCACTGAAGTTATTCCTCACCAACATTATGATTTACCAGTGGGAAAATGTCCAATATCAAAGAGTTCCAATGCCAATCCTTTTGTATTCAAGGTAACTAGTAGACACTGGTCATGAAATGGAAATGGAACTGATTCAAGGATGAAAGCAGTATGTCAGGAAGGCTCTCTTTCTAGCATCTCACTTCCTGCAGGGCACAGTCAGATGATCCTTCATTCTGACATTTGGTACAAACTGAAGGCCAAACCAGAGAGTAAACATGACTCACCTCAAGATCATTGTTCCTATGCTTTTCTCTTTCAAAATTGAAAGTGGACTGTAATATGTCATCTTGTAAGTCAGAAGCCCTTACTGAAAATTAAAACATAATTATTTGTTTATGAAGTTTGGCGTATGTTATAAAAAGCAAGACGTTAGATTGTTGACTGAGATGGTTGAAACACCATAATGATATGTCAGTTTCAAGTTGAAGGAAAGACCAAAGTGATGCAGGTCAGATATATACCACTTTGGAGAAACCCATGAATGCGGATATGGTGCTGACAAAACAAGAAACATAATCAGGGCAAATTAGAGAACACAAGATCAGCTGAACAATAGATTGAGGTGCCACTAGGTTCCAGTGATGAAGCACATATCCTTAACAACCTTGCTAAGTCAGTGCACATTGAAATTAAGCGCAAGTTCATGAGCATGAGTGATTGTATGACACTTGAAACTGGTGTTGTATAAATAAAATCGTGGGGACACGAAGAATGGGCTCAGGAACTGATATGCACGTTACTGTGAATCACTTACCACAAGCCTACCCAACCCTTCCACGAATGACATGGCATGATCAACCCAACCCAAAAAGATGGGCAAAGAAGATGACTCACAAATGAACCACATATAATTCAATGATTAATTCCATATTTATGAAAGAAAAGAGGAACCTTGTTGAATCACATCAATCATTAAAATGTTGATCAAAGCCATATCTCAGAATGTTAAAGAAAATGTATCATGCTACCAATTTGTCTTACTTGTGTTGACAAGTGAATGAGTGGCCAAAGCCATGAGTATTTTAGCATGCATCAGTAGCAATCTGTGTTTCCTCGCTATTGCACCCTTCAATATAGCGTTAACTTGGTTATAGCGAGCGGTAACGCATGGCTCCCCAAATTTATGTACACTTTTAATAAACTCAAGTTTTACACTGACACAATGTTTTTTTCCCATTGCAAAAAACATCACCAGCTGATTACTGCAAGCACGCAACACCAGAAATACCAATCAACAAATCTTAACATAAGTTCGCAATCTAATCCTATTGTTACACTATCTGATTATAAAAACATGTTTGTTGTATATCTAGACTTATGTTTGTAACATATTTTATTAATTTTATGAAAATTTTCATTCAATATTGTTTACATTAATTTCGGCGAAATTGTGTTTGAAGGGATTGGTAGATCCCGCAACTCACTGTTATATACTGCAACCCTCGGTCAGATTACCGCTATTGACGACCTTGAAACAAACTTAAGTGCCATACTTTGACTCGTTAAAAGTTATATTTGTTGTAGTTTGACTGTTAAATGTCAACAAAGTTTTCGCGATCCAGAGAGCGTGGGCCTAAACGGGGCCTATATATAGTAAAGCTGCAACTAAATAACATGATATTTGAATATATTACTCCTAAAAAAAATAACAGTTTAAGATACAATTCTTCTGATCATTGCTTCAACATTCTTTAAATTATATTATTGGGTAACTTATAACCGAATCACAGGAAGATTGGGAGAAAACGTGTGTACAGCTGATTGCTGTTTCCGGCTTAGTTTACGAGACAAAACACACAGTAATCTTAATCTCAGCATATAAAACAACGCCGAGCAGAACAAGAAATACAATTTAAATGGTAAATCATGTCAACTGATATTTTATCTTAATTATTTCAATTTTTTATGGACCAAGTTTGTTATACTGTTCGTTCACCTGAATTCTCTGAAGGGATACTGTGTGTTTTCAACTATATTCTAATCTTTTTTCAAACTCTGAAACGTGCAGCGTAGATCGTGTTAGGAAGGCAGGGCATGTACTGTCATCTACCCCCTAATACTCCACCTCAGCTAAACCGCTGAGCCTTTATAACACTCATCAATTATTTGGACTCCCAAGGTAGTGTTGTAGTGAGGGACCACTGTAATACATACACAATGATGGAAGAAAAATAGGTACTTACATTCAGATTTATGACATTTCTCAGCTAGATCTAGATTGGTCCTGAAATGTAAAAATAGTGTTCAGATAAAGACATGTAGTTTCTTAACTGATGGGATCCAAAATGCAGTTCTGCCTTCATTGCTTTCGATGATCACAAATAACTGAAAAAGACATTTTCACTCATGCATACAGAACAACTGATCTTTACATCCTGAAACCTGATTAATATTTCTTGTGTTTGCCACATAAAATGTCCAGTATTATTTTCATAATACATCATTAAAAGTCAGTTAAGGACATTATGAAATAAACCCAATACTGTACTGATGTAATTACTGTCAAGATCAACACCATGTCACAAAAGATGAGGGTTTAAGTACCGCATGTGAAATATTGCCTTCTTTATGCATACAAATTGAGCATGAATGCAAACAATTTTAATTTCGAGACATTGTTGATTACAAGTTACATATAACCAACATTTCTATTCTGTAAGAAATAAACTCAAAGTTCAGGGTGGCGTGGTTGATTTTCTTCAATCTAATATTGAAATCCCCATCTAAAATAGGCATAAGGCTTCTGTGCATGTGCAATGATACGACATCATGTGAAGCGTGCTTCATGTCGTAATCCTGGGGCCCCCATGTTCAAGCCCTGAGCGTAAAAACATATTACTGAGAGTACCTTGGACTAAACAGATAGACCCAGGTTAATCTCCGTAATATTGTAATTGAGATCAGTTAAGCTTGTTTAGTTGATCACATTATCCGAATGAAAACATGAAAATAAACTTCTTATAGTCTGGAATGACTCTGAATTGTGTCTTTGTACAATGTCATGATAAGCATTATCTACCGAGATGTATTCCCAAACACCCCACAGATTCTTGCTTGGTTTCAGATTCCAAGACACTACCCAATACGTTGATTAAAGTATCCCATAACATCATTTTAAAGTGACTAACACATGATAGTCTTTGTCAGATTCGAAATAAGCAGTTCAGAGGGGTCTTCAGATCCTTGAAGATTTGTGCTGCAGTATTTTAATCTAAGGATTGCCTAAATATAATTGTTAACATAACCCGATGACAAGGAGCTCTTGACTTTAATCCATAAATTTGACCACTGCATAATTTGACAGATTAAACTACGAAACCACATAAAATGCTTATGCTTTCTTGAACCATTCCTGAAAGACATGCACAAACCTGCTTTTGCTTCTCTTCCCAAACAAACGTGAGAACATGATAAAGCAAGAGGGGTCTTCATTGGTCATTTACGCTATTCCTAGGTATCCTCCATGATGACACGATAACATAATGTCTTGGTCCACTAGCAACACTGACTGCATGAAGTTTCCCTTTGTAGTTGTCCAGCACACACACAATCACAGAAAACAGTCTCCTTCCTCGATCAACACTAACTATATGAAACTCTTGTGTGTTACTTCAGAACAAAATACATTTAATGTTAGCGAAGCATCTTCCATGATTAAGACATCATCAAATATCCAAAACAGCATCCTTGCAATTGGATCTTTACAGAATGCACAGTTGACAGCAAAATCATTGAAAATAACATGCTATATCTGATTTCTGTACTTCATTGCAAATCAATACCGGGGTAGTGTTCCTGTGAAACGAAATTTTATAAATCAGTTTAGTAATTCTTTGAAAATAAAACTAATAACATATAATGTATGTTAACAGTACACCAGTCATAAGCAAGTCACAGCAATGGAATAGTTTTTTATTGCTGGTTCTTTAAACACACAACAATGACCAAGAGGGGAATTCTAAAGCTGCACCTTTGCCATCAACCCTAAGCAGTTAAAAAATCACATTTCCACAGAAATCTTGTCAGCGTGAACACTACGCCAGTAATCCAATGGTACATGATCCCGTCAAGTAATACAGCAATCCTGGAGTGAACGATGCATCTGGGTGTGCATAGCGATCCACATACTAGTCAATGACAACATTTCAATGGTGAGTACAGACCCAGACGGTAAACAAATCAATTCCTGCTAGAATCACCCAGTCTTGCAGCCCTAATCGAGCCAAAAATCCAGTTGAGTCTGCAGGTAAAACTCTATTATCCTAATGGAGGCAACACATGTAGTGTCACAGACATCTGAACACGGAAATACACACATGCGGGTCACAAACCTGACATTTCGGAGGTGGAACAATCGCCGCTAGTCGCTGTAAGGAGGAGGGGCAATTTCCATTTCAATACCTCTAATTCAGACTCTAGCAGCCTTACTATGGTCACATTTTACTCTGCAAATCTTTACAGAAAGAGACATCTATTTTTACCAATGTGTCTGCATGCATTCACATTTAATTCATAGCTGATTCCACAGTACATTTGTTAAAATGTCCTGCCCAAGCATTCTTGTCATGCTTGTTAAGTGTATAGCAACATTGATGGTGAGATCTATTCCCTCTAGACTAGTTGCATATAAACAAATGTAGAAGGATACACTGAATTAATATCATTCTCTGGGAGTGCAAAGTCAACATAATGTAACTTGATCCGGAGATGAATATGACCCTGGTTGATTTCAGGACACATAGGTTGCAATCTGAAGAGGTTAGTCAATTTAGATGATATCAGCTTGTGATCCTGTCTTGGGTCAAGTCAAATGGGAAATGTGTAAGTGCAGACAGATTTCTTGTATATTAACTCCTAATCTCACTACTGAGTCATGTTTCAAATCTATGTCTGATCCGATCACGACACTGACTGTTTTGTCTGACATCCCAAGACTAACAAGACACATAAGCAAACCCAACAGTCACTTGGCGTCTTCGTCTACGACAAAACTCACTTTGTTCAGGGGAACTATCAACACTCCACAGGAATATCTTAACTCCAGTTCTCATAATCAATTTCCATGTCAGCATGGCAAGACATTTCCGAGGTACTATACCACCATGTAGAATTCCTCTGGGTCACTGAGACATACACCTTAACCTTTGGATAACAGCGCAAAAAATCCATACATCTTGAGGCAGAGGAGTTTGTCCAATTGTTTGAATGGAAGCGAGGATGGAGCTCATCTTCCTGCCTACCTAACTTGTGGAGGGTCTCCAGACTGAGTCGCTGCCTGTGACATAACAAGTGACATGAGAACAAAACTGTGCTCTGGTAACTGGGATAAAATTATGCTTGAGTCTCAATAGTGTATTGGCATTACCGTACTAACATCATATAGCACTCCACATGCATGAGCAGAACTTTTGACAGACAACAAAAAAACACCACCTTGTGCTCAGTGCCAATGTGTAATCGTTCAAGCTGCATCACTGCATCCAGTTTGATTGATGTTTCAATATACACCAACGTCACACAGCACTAGCAGCAAATACATATGTCAGCTACATGCCACCAATATAGAAGGTCCATATCCCTCATCAGATACAAGATATTACTCAATATTCTTTCTTTGTTGGCAATCTAATCTGAGATACCATTCTTGATAATAAAGGAATCAGCATGTGTTATTTCATGGCGCAAACTGAAAATGTAAAAACTCCTCTTTCCCCTGAAGTAAATGGTGCATAATTCCACAATGAAGAAATATCAATATGTGAAGCTTTTGTAGTCAGTAAAAATCCACACTTTAACAACCTAATACAACAGGCATCTTGAGATGAAATATTCCCTTGACAAGAACAAAAATCAATGAAAATATTGTTTGTTATTTTGAGAAAAATGGATACTAAAATCTGTAAGTGATTCTAAAAAAATGTATGCATCAAGGACAGTTAAGATACACTGTATGAATAAAACAAAAAGAAAGCTTAAAGATGTGAATAAAATATCAGTGAGTCATATTGGACACCTAGCAGCAACAAATAAATACTTGAAATATTTGTTATTCATGTACAGCTTTTGCAATGCTTTGATTCAAGTTCTAGAGTTTATGAGAATCTCTTTACTATCACAAATAAATGTTCACAATACATTCAGCAAGTCAGCACATTACTACAGAGAAAAACCATCATTGACAACATTGTTCTGCCAATATTGTATCTGACATTTCAGAATTAGGTAGATATGGATAGGTAGTTTGATGATTAATTTATATTCCCTTTTCATTTGAAGCAACATTATTGGAATCTATTACACAAATAAGTGACAATGATAGTATGATACATCAAGTTGCTACTGATACATAAATATATAATATGTCTTGGTTCTCAAAGATGCTGAAGATAGAACACTTTTGTGGGCAAATTAAGTAAGCACATTTATCCGATCAAATGCACTGAAATCTTGAACATTCTGAACCATTAAATAATGTAAGATCTAGCAACAATGTCAAGTCATGTTATGCAGTGGGCAAAATCATTATATTCCTATTATCCAAACCATAAACAGACTTATCCCATTCTATTGTCTATGCATGATCTAGGTTTAGATACTTAATAAACCAACCTCAAGTTTGAGGATGTGAATGTTGGTTTCTGCCGCAGTTATCACTTGTCCCAGCAGCCAGCAAATATTAAATGACACACTAGGTTGTCATTGCATTTATGTGCATCAGTTGATGATTCTGAGATACAATAGGTCCTCATGGCCTCGAGGTTGTCCTAAGAGTAGACAGATATGGTGATCGGGTGGTCAGGCTCTATGACCTAGCTGCTTCTTGTCATTATATTCAGATGGCATAGATCATTTCCAATATTTTCAGTCACATGCTTGTCTGGTCCAGACTTGATTATTGACAGGTTGCTGTGATATAGCTGGAATATTGCTGATTTGGGCATCAACCATCATTCCCTCACTCACAAAAGCATTTGGTACTGGTGACCCACAGAGCTAACCTTGGTGTAACAGCTTCATCCAGTAACACCAATCAACAGTACCCAGGTTGTTTTAGTATGTACCAATACCACATAACACTGAGTTGTGCTCCTACTGTCAGTCACTGGTTTGCATGCTCCAAACCCTGTCACACTTTCAGGACAAAGGCATAAGCTGGATTCATTCTTACATCGTGCAATTCTCTCCTGTATTCATAACTGTGAAGAGGTAGAGGATAAGCTGCAT